CCCCCCCCCCCCCCAATCAAACAAATAAAAGAGAAGGAAGGAAAGGGAAAGAAAAAAGGAAAAGAGGAGAAAAAGGGAAGTAAAAAGAGGACGAAGAAAAGAAAAGAAGGGGGATATCAGTTGCAATTTTCCCCGCCAACAACTTGTGGATCGGGGGGGGGGCAAAAGGTCCTTGCCTCCCCCCCCCCCCGTCCCCGCAAAAAAAAAGAGAGAAGGAAGGAAAAGGAAAAGAAGAGAGCTAAAAGGGAACAAAAAAGAGGAAGAAGAAAAGAAAAGGGAGACAAGAAGGGGGAGATCAGTTGCGGTTAATCCCGCCAACAACTTGTGTGGAGCGAGGTGGGGGCAAAAATGACCCCCCCCCCCCCCCGCTCAAACCTAAACGAGAGAGAAGGGAAAGGGAAAGAGGAGAGGGAAAAAGAATGAAGAAAAGAACGGGGATATCAGTTGCAATTTTCCCGCCAACAAGGTGTAGATAGGGAGGGGGGGGGGGGGGGAACTGGCGTACTGATAGGGAAGGGGGGGGGGGGGGGGGGGGGGGGTCTTGGGGAAAATAAAATTCAAACGTGGTTAATTTCTAATTCCATAACGGTGGTTTACAAATAATGTTGAAATGACATAATTTTCGAGATTTTTCCTCACTTTTAAGTAAATTATACTTTTTTATGCGTTTGTTGGAAAATGACAAATTCCTAAATTTACAGCCAGGCAAGAAAATGCTTCTTGAGATGCCTACATGTCAGGGCCCGCCCAACGGCGGGGATCGGGATCCTCGAGCCCCCCCCCCCCCCCCCATTAAAAAAAAAGTATATTAAAGAGAAATAGAAAGAAAGAGAGCAAGAAAGAAAAGTTAACTGTCAGTGTCACATTATAATGAGGTATCAAAATATGCTCATCTGACCATGACTAAGTGCCTATAATACCCCGAGGGCTCTGCCCCCTGGATTCCACCCAGGGCCCTAAAGGTCCCTTAGATGCTCATCTGACGGTAGTTTACTGCCTAAAACCCTGAGCTTCCGGGGGCTCCGTCCCCTGAACCCCACGCCAATTAGTGACCTGCCAGTGTCACAATTAGGTATCAAAATAATGCTCATCTGACCGTAATTAAATGCCTAAAACCCCTGAACTTCCGGGGCTCTGCCCACTGGACCCCGCCTAGGGCCCTAAGGCGGACCCCTGAATGCTAATCTGACCGTATATTATTGCCTTAAACCCCTGAGCATCCGGGGGCGGACATATGCAGGCGCGTAGCCATGGGGCGGTGGGGTGGTTCCCGAAAAAAACGCGCGGGAAGGGGGGGGGGGGGACTGATTTAGACAAAGATTAAGAGTCGAGAACGGTACAACAAACCGTCTCCTTTCTCTAATGATTCAATGAAACGCAAAAGCTTCGCGTTTGATGGGGGAAACTTAATTCAGACGAGGATTACTTTCGAGAGCGGTACAACAAATCGTCTTCTTTCACTAATAATTTAATGAAATGTAAAAGCTTCCGCGCTTCGCGCGCACGGATTGGGGGGGGGGGGGGGGAGGGGAACTGAATTCAGACGAGGATTAAGAGTCAAGAACGGTACAACGAATCGTCTTGTTTCTCTAATAATTAAATTAAATGTCAAAGCTTTTTGCGCTTCGCACAGGAGGTGGGGTAACTGAACTTAGACAAGGATTAAGAGTCCAGAACGGTACAACGAATCGTCTTCTTCCTCTAATGATTTAATGAAACGTAAAAGCTTCCGCGCTTCACGATCGCGGATGGGGGGGGGGGAACTGAATTCGGACGAGGATTAAGAGTCGAAAACGGTACTACGAATCGTCTTCTTTCTCTAATGATTTAATGAAACGTACAAGCTTCCGAGCTTTGCGCGGGAGGGGGGGGGGATGAATTTAGACGAGGATTAAGAGTAAAAATGGTACAACGAATCGTCTTCTTTCTCTTATGATTTAATGAAACGTAAAAGCTTACGCGCTTCGCGCAGGGATGGGGGGGGGTGAACCCCCCCCTTCGTTTTTTTATGTGTGTATTTTGGAGCAAATCCCCCACCCCCCTTTTGTGATGTTTTTTTTTGTTTTTTTTTTTAATAAAAAAATAATAAAAATAATAATAATTATGCCAATGGCTGACCTAAAAAAGGTGACCTCACCCCCCCCCCAAAGGAACAAAATGTCAAATTTTCAAAAGTGTCCTCTTACCCCCCCCCCCCCCCCCCCCCCCGCGCTTATTCAGCAGCTGGCTGAGTCGTTGCGATTTTTTGGGGGGACCAAAAAATTAAAAAAAAAGTGGCCCCCCCCCCCCCTAAGAAATCCTGGATCCGCGCCTGGTACGGTCAGCTCCGTTTGGGGGGTTTCATGAAATCAAGATTATGGATAAATCAATATGATTACTAATATCCTGAGGTTGGAGAATTCTGATATCATGGACAAACGAAAATCTTGAACATTTTCATTGGCTAAAATTTTATAGTTTCTAGGTGCCTGGATATGTTAGGTCCATACGTCCTAATAAAAGCTCCGTTCGCATAATCCTTCCGGTCACAAAATCGTATCTTATTTAGCTAAAAGTCTTGAAAATCTAACTTCCTCACTTATTTGGATATAGTATATCGTGTTAAGTATATCGTGCAATATTGTATATTTACGAAAAGCTTGAGTGTGGTATATAACCTAAAGGCTAAATCCACTCCAAAATAATTCGCTTTCAATAGATGCAGAAAAACAAGAGAAGCAGAGCAAATAAAAGAAAAAATGAGTAAAATCGGATAACTAATAAGGAAGTTATGAATTTTAAAAAAACTATGAAAAACTATGGAACAATGGAAATCACTACATAAATTGCCAATTTGGATATCAGTTTGAAACGCCTTTGCCTCACTATTTATCAATTGCTTTATATATTTTTATCACATTAATTTCCCTCTTTATCCCCCTAAAACTTGATTTCCCCATGCCTTTGCCCAGGTTATATTATTCGTATCGTATTGCGGGCATGACATTTCACAAGATCTTTTATAAACTTTTGAAGAATTAAACTATTTTCAGAATATTGTATATTCATAATTATTGACTTTTATGTAAATACATTTTCAAAATTTACATTTTTCATGAAAAAAATACTCTATATTAGATTATTAGTGCATCCACACAAAAACATATTATTTTCAATATAACTTGGATGCTGGTGTTAGGAAATGTGATTCTTAGGGGAAAAGTGAGAAATTTATATTACCAATAGAAAGAAAACAATAAGAGGATAGCGAGGCAATGGCGTCAGGCGCGGATCCAGGGGGGCCGAGCGGGCCTTGCCCCCCCCCCCGCAAAAAGAGAGAGAGAGAGAGAGAGAGAGAGAGAGAAGGAAAATAAGGGAAAGAGGAGAGAAAGGGAAAGAAAGAAGAGGAAGAAAAAATAAAAAGGGGGGAAGAGATCGGGGGCCGAAAAGGGCCTTGCCTCCTCCTCCCCCCTCCCATAAAAAAAAATAAGAGAGAAGGAAGAAAAGGGAAAGAAAAAAAAGGGGGATATCAGTTGCAATTTTCCCGTTAACAAGTTGTGGATCGGGGGAGGCAAGGGCTCTTGCCTTCCCCCTCCCGCTCCCTCACCCCCCCCCCCCCTTAGAGAGAGAGAGAGAGAGAGAGAGAGAGAGAGAGAGAAGGTAGGAAAAGGGAAAGAGGAGAGCTAAAAGGGAACAAAAAAGAGGAAGAAGAAAAGAAAAGGGTGAAAAGAAGGGAAGATAAGTTGCTGTTAATCCCGCCAACAACGTGCGGAGCGGGGTGGGGGCCGAAAGGCCCTTGCCCCCCCCCCCCGGTCAACCTAAAAGAGAGAGAAGAAAGGGAAGGGAAAAGTAAAGAGGAGAGAATGGGAAAGAAAAAAAAGAGAAAGAAGAAAGGTAAGGGAGATAAGTTGCGATTTTTTTCCCCCCGCCAACAAGGTTTAATCGGGGGGGGGGGGGGGGGCATTGGCGTACTGATAGAGGGGGGGGGGGGGCGGCTGGGGGAAAATAAAATTTAAACGTGGTTTATTTTTAATTCCATAACGGTGGTTTACAAATAATGCTTAAATGACATAATTTTCCGAGATTTTTCCTCACTTGTTAGTAAATTACCTATACTTTTGTATGCGTTTGTTGGAAAATGAAAATGAAAATGACAAATTCCTAAATTTACAGCCAGGCAAAAAATATTCTTCTTGAAATGCCTACATGTCAGGGCCCGCGGAACGGCGGGGATCGGGAGCCTCGAGCCCCCCCCCCCCCACACTTAAAAAAGTGTATTAAAGAGAAATAGAAAGAAAGAGAGCAAGAAAGATAGAACGGTTAACTGCCAGTGTCACAGAATAATGAGGTATCAAAATATGCTTACCTGACCGTGACTAAATGCCTATAAAACCCCTAAGCTTTCGGGGCTCTGCCCCCTGCATTCCACCTCGGCCCCTAAGGCGGGCCCTTAGATGCTCATCTGACGGTAATTTATTGCCTTAAACCCCTGAGCTTCCGAGGGCCGGGGGTGGGGCGGTCCTCCCTAAAACGCCGACCCAAAATACAAAGACAAAAAAATAAAAGAGAGGAGAGAAAAGGAAGAGGACGTAAGAAGAAAAATGAGCAGGGGGGGGGGGCGGGCCTCCCGCCCCCCCCCCCCCCCTGGATCCGCCACTGCCCTCCGGCCCCACTTTGAGAGAAAACCTGGAGAAATGTCGTCGACTTCGCGATGCGACGGCTAATGTTGTGTACTGTGAATTGTTCAGAGATGGATGGGTGGAGTCGAAAAGTTGAATTGTCCTTGAAGTCCTTAACTGACCAATCAAATTGCAACACATCTTCTCATTCTAACATTATATAGTGATCAGTTTAAAACAAATACAATTTTATTAGTATAAAATATCTTATGTCATAGAATTATATGTAAATAATATTTATGTCGAATATTATAATATTTTATACATCAATGATTAAATCTAAAATACAAATTTAAATAATTTATGTTAAACAAAAGTCTACGATCATCAAATTGACAGAGATAAGAATACGTGTATATCATGCAACGAGAAGCACTTGGAGTTGCCGTGTTGGTTAGAAAGTGACAGTGTCGGACTATTATCAAGCTTTCACTCATCATTTACGCCATTATGGCGAAACGAAAGGAATTGTTCAATTTGCACAACTTTTTAAGTTCCCTTCCAGTTCTTTTGGTGACTTTATCGCTACATTATGACGGTAAGTTTACTCATCTTGGCCGTATTCATCCTGTGCGTAGTCCCGTTCGTTTAATTTTTCGTCCAGTAACAAAGCTGAGCGACTGGGCCACTGGGGCGCTGGGGCCCAGGTTCGCAGCGCTCGCGCCGCCTGCCTGAAAGGCTCCATGACTTGTCTTTGGTGAGCCCTATGAGTATGAGTATGACATGTCTGCGCACCTAACATTTGTTCTTCTTTTCTAAGTTCTAACTTTAGTTGAGTAGACCCTACTGGCTACTGTCCTTCTGAAATCTGAATTGGCATGTGTGACTGTGTCTGTGTGAGTGTTAGACCGAATTTTCCGTCTCTTTCGTTCGTTAGCCTCTTATTGGGGTAGAGGGGTCTAGGGTCGGCTCTCTCTTTAGAGACCAAAACAGACTATCCCGCGAAATGTGTAGGGTTATGTGGGCAAATCAGTAGAGTCTAGCCTATACCAAACTTGCAAAACTTAATAATAGAAGTTAGAAAATTACTCCTTTCACAGGATGCATATCCGATGCATTTTAATTGTAAAGTAGATCTAGGTTACAACTTATTTACTTCGGTTCCACTTACCAAATTGACTGAAATAATCTGTTTAATGGTCCATTTTTAGGAAATTATGGGTCAAAATCGATATCCATGATAAAAATCTTGCAGCGGGCGTTTAAACTCTAGCTGCGCATGATGTCATCTAAATCTCATCCCTTCTAGTCTATGGCTACGCCGAAGGCAAAATGATTATAACGGAAAACTGTACACGAGCGACGAGTTCGTAATGACATGCACAGTTTTTCCGTTATAATCACCTGATCGGCTCAAGATCGGACCCCGATGCAATGATTGGTTACAGGCCTAATTTCGGCTATAATGTCTCGCCAATCACATTTTTTTTGTATCTCTAGTTCGGAGACGCCAATGTTTGTTTTCCTATTAAAGTTACTATGTCCCTTTTGCAGCCAACCTCAAATACTGTAGAACTTTGCAGGAATTATGAATATGTCATGTATGTCCTATCTGTGAAATTTAAACGTTAGCAGTGTCCTCATATTCAAATTATGCAAGGAAACCCGTTTCCTTGCTAGACTTCACTGTCAGACACTATTGAGTGACTGACTGGCTTTTTTTCTTCTTTGGTAATAACATACATGAAAAGAGTTGTAAAGGGTACATGCATTTGTCTACATCAATAACCCACTTCTTGTGATGGCCAAGATTAAACTTATTGAATCTTTGCGCAGCATAAAACGTACATGTATGACCATTCGGTACAATTGTCTGAAAATCAAGACTATTACTTTTGGGCTCTATAGCCCTAAAGTCGATTTGACATCTAATAGTCATTATTTTCCCACTTGAAGGTATTTTCAAGCCCCACCTTTTTTAGGGAAGTTCTAAATAAGTATTTTCTTTCAAATGCAGTTGAAATTTAACTTTTTCCTTTTTTTGGCCTGCAAATGGGACATAGTACCTTTGAAGTATTATTTTAAAATTATGACAGATCGTTTTTGAGTGTGTGTGTCTTTTCATGCCAAATTTAGCAAAACAAAATAAATCTGCATGTACATGTACGTCTTTTTCGTCAATGCTGACAAAAATTAAATGAATATTTCCTAGATTTTTTTATTTATTTATTTATTATTTATTTATTTATTCATTGATTGATTGATTGATTTATTTTTGTATTTATTTATGTATTTTTTTATTTATTTATTTATTTATTTATTCATTTATTTATTTATTGTTTTTTTTTTTTTTTTGGGGGGGGGGGGGGGGGCTGTATCTTTTGATAGAAACATCGGTGAGACTTGAAATTTGAAATGTATTATTCTGAGTAAATGTTTTTTGAAATATCCAACCATAATGGTGGAAAGCGATCCCAAAGGGAAAATTGAATAATCGTTCAGGCACCCTACTGTTAATTATGTTTTTTTTTCTTTCTATGTAGATGGAGAGGCCAATTCTGAATCAGAAGCCAAGAGATACATGCAGACTGGAAACACTTTATTAGCTGCTGGTCAACTAGCTGATGCACTGGCCCAATACAATTCTGCAATAGGTACTAAAAAGCATTACCAATCTTTGGCATCTTGCCTCATAGAAAAGATGTGATATAGGAATTTAAAATACAGTCAAACTTTCTTCAGTGACCCCTTAGATTCCTCTCCTTTTCTGAAAACTTCTGTGTAAAAAGTATATAAAAATGGACAGTATTCTTAATTTGCATTTAAAGCAGACGAAGGTTGAGTTCTGCAATTCTGGGAAAAGGTGAAAAATAATTTGTGAGCGTTAATGTATTATGCAAGTGTGGAAGATCATCAGATAAAAAATGTTCCCTGAAAAGCATGGCTCTTCAAATGCCTTTATATTCTAAATATGGCACTTAACATCATAAAAATCGGGACAGATTTTTATGCCACTTGTTTGTGTAGTCACTTATAGATCTTTCTGTGTACAGTGCTTATAACTTTACCAAGATTGGGCCAAATTTCTAATCATTTTGATGATTCCAGAACCTTGCAGTACACACAAATACTTATAATACAGTGTATGCTAGATGATCAACCTCTTCTGAACGATTCCACAATGTTTCTTTCACATTGCAATCGCATGACCATAACTGGTCTTTCATTTTGTGTGTGCATGTATCTAGACAATGATCCTAATAACTACATGGCCTACTACAAGAGAGCTGCTGTGTACCTGGCCCAGGGAAGGTCCAAACTAGCCCTACCAGACCTGAAGAAAAGTATGACTCTCAAGTCCGACTTCACCCCTGCTCTCATCAACCATGGGAATGTGCTCTTTAAACTGGGACACCTTGCTAAAGCTAGTGAAGATTACGCTGCAGTGGTGAGATAACAGATTAATTTTTATCCTAATTGTCAATTCATACAAACTACTCATTCTTAAGGGCGGTGTTTCACAAAGATCCTAAGTCGAACTTAACTCTAAGTTGGACTTAAACATTATGGAGAGCCATTTGTAGCCTTAAAAATAAAAACTATTCGAAAGCCAAAATTCAAGTATTTTAGACTTTTCATAAATTCCACATCAAGAACATCAAATATCCTTGATACGGTAATAGAAAATATGAATGATGTGAATCAACATTTTATGCCTATTTAAAATAACTTTTACAAAATATTTTCAAAAATGCTAACGGCTTTTCATAATTGTTAAGATCAACTTAGAGTTAAGTTCGACTTAGGATCTTTGTGAAACACTCCCCTGTGCAGTTAGCATCTACCAGTCTCCTTTGGCAAACATTACATTTGGCTCTCTCCACCCAGGTGAAGTAGACAGGTACCCGGAAGGAAAAATTTGTGAGCATCTTATTATGGTAGTTCAGCTAATGTCAGGGTAATATAATTGCAGGGCCCTTAGAGAGACCAGAAGTAGTACTGATGAGGCTAATCTCCATAGCTAAGAACATAATATTACAAGTATTAATCATGATATACACTGAAACATAACAAGCACAAGTAATTCAAGGAGTTTTCTCTGTATAGTGGATGGTTGTTTGATAAGAAATTGATGAAACATTTATTTTTGCTAAGTGCTGCTTCATTGATTTGCTTGGGTTCAAGAATACATGACAAGATGCATTGTAAATTTGTTTAAGAGTTAACCACCCCAAAAATGCTGACAAAGGAATAGGAAAGTAGATATGGTTTCAATTTCAAATGACTGTGATACACATGATGAGTGCTAAGTCTACTATATTTGGAGCTCAAGTCATTCAAAATAAAAGATGTCACTGATTGTTTTTCTCTCCTTCTTTTCTTTCTGCTGACAGTTGAAATACGATCCTTCAAATAAAGAGGCCGACAAGCAACTTGGAATGACTCGTACTGTTGAGGAGCGAATAACGTTAGGAGATCAACTGTTCCAATCAAATCAACACGAGCAAGCATTAGATGCCTACTCAAAAGTTCTTATGGTAAGACAGTAGTTACATTTGTTAGGATTAATACAAAGGATAGTGACAATTTAAAAAGTCAATCAACATTACACTTTCTGCAATAAGAAATGACTCATGCATCAGAAAACCAACAACAAAAAGAAAATCATTGATATTTGTAATAATAATATTACTAGTATGTCATTCTTATATAGCGCATTTCACATAATGGTATATCATCTCTTTAGATGCGCTTCCAAAGGACTTTGGATATAAAATGACGAAGGGAAAATATACTGCTGTTTGAGAATTAATTTTCCTAGCCCCCTCCCCCCCCCCCAAAAAAAAAAGAAAAAATTTGTTCCTTAATAAATTATGGCTTGATCTCATATGGAAATGATAACCCACCTCAAATACACTATCGCTGCAAAATAATGACATACATAAGTTTAGTGCGATTCACATTTCTATAAACTTTTCACTTTGCTTTAGCATTTTGATATGTTATGTGTCTTTTATTTGATATATGATGTCCCTTGAATGGTATTTCAAATTCTTGCTATGTATAAAGTCACTGTCTTGTCATGTTTTGTGCTGAAAGCCCGAGGACCGTACCTGCTCATAGATTTTTCTTTATACAGTCTTGACGCCCTTCTGGCTTTCAGCACACGACATCATGTTTTTGTCTTATGTTTTATATATTACATGTTACACCAATGGAAAACAAATTTCTGTATTGTATTATGGACAATAATATCTTGAATCTTGAATCTTGAATCTTGTTCTTTTGTTCACAGTATTTACCCTGGAATGCAGATATGCACAGGAAACGAGCCAAAGTCTACACACAGCTTGGAGAGTTGTACAAGGCCATCGATGATCTTAGATCAGTCACTAAACTGGTTCCAGACAGCACAGAGGTCTATCTTGAAATGAGTAGAACACATGACAGTATGGGCGATCTGGATATGGCCTTAGAGTAAGTCCTAGTCTAATTTGGTAGTGAAATAGGGCTCTTGAGTATTAAGTCGTAGTCTTCACTGATCTTGAAATGGTGGCTATAGAGAGTAACTCGTAGACCTGATTAGTTATGTAACAAATATTCTCAAAGAAGTCCAAGTCTTAACTGATGTTAAAATGGGGGCTCTATTCAATTCAATTCAATTCATTCAATTTCAATTTATTATCCAATATTGGAAATTTGTTTTGCTCACATTTTAAAAACGTACAAAGAATCAAATAAATTTACATACATAATACATCATACAGTTTGTATACTTTGTAATAGAAATTCTTCAGAATATTGTTTTACAGAAAGTTTTTCTATGTTATTATTAAACAAAATAAGTGAATTATTTGATATGTTTGAGTGAACAGGATGCCCCGGAAACGTTACAAAAATAGCATCAAAGAAATAAAGAAGAACGTAAAATTCAGGTCACATTTTGATTGTATTTGCGGATCAAAAAAGGAACAAAGGAATTTATAAAACATTGAGTGAGACAGTTCTTTGTAAGTCTTACCACTGATTGGTCTTGAAATTATGCTTTTAGATTTGGTCTTAGTCCTTGATGATATGAAGGAATACCAAACAGGATGAGGGACCTTGATCAGGTTCTAGAGTCTAGAAATGAGTGTTCTGGAATCAGTCTTGTTTCTAATTGGTCGTTAACTCTTTATAAATGGCAGTTACGAGGGTTCGTTCATGTTCAAGCTAAAAAATAAACAGAATTGCAGGTAGACGCTCAAACAGTTAAAACTTAACTATGTATCTTTACAACATATTTTACAAATGTTAGGCATTGCCCAACATGTATATTTATTTGATTTTGCTTTGTTTTATTTTTTAGCGATATCCGAGAATGTTTGAAACTTGATCCTGATCATAAGGAGTGCTTCCCTCTTTACAAAGTTCTGAAGAAGATCAAGAGATTTCTGGATGCTGCTGAAAACTATATACGTGATGGAAGGTGGGTACTTATGATGACAATAACAATTACTATTGGACTGTTTCAGCTTGTCCTCTATCCTTCCCCTGCCCCCCTTCTTCCCCCGCCCCCCTCTTTCTTCCCCCTTCTCTCTCTCTCTCTCTCTCTCTCTCTCTATCCCTGTCCCTCTCCTCAGTAATTTTCCTCTTTACCTGTTTATATTATATCTGTTACGTATAACATTAGAACATGAATTAACATTTTTTGATTTTTTATATATTTATGCTTGTTTGCATACAAGTATGTTTGCAAACCACTACAACAGCAACTGCTTTCCTTTGGCTATCCTTGGGTACTAGTCAGTGATATTCATCACCTCTTTTGTCTCCACTTGTTTTTGTTTTCTTCTCTTTTTGCCTGGAATTTACATGAATGAATATGAAATTAGTATTTTTTTAAAATAATTTCCCCCCCCCCTTCCTTCTTCTAAGGTATGATGATGCTGTAGGCAAGTTAGAATCATCGATAGAGGCTGCAGGGAAAGGAGGTGTTTATGAACTCAGGGCAAACGCTAGGATATGCCATGCTTATAGAATGGTAAGAATCAGAGCCATCTTTATACAGAGCTTGGCTAACTTGGTTTCAGTAGGTCACAACATGGTGCCTACTCTTTTATTTTGTGCTTTTTGTAAGTTTGTACATTATGGGCATAGCTAATTCTAATTTATGTACATTTTGCTTATCCTCTGTTGAAAGTATTTCACACTTGTTTTGGGAATGCCCTGTTACGCATCAATTCATTCAAGACTTCCAAAGCTCTATGCTAAACAATGAAGTGCTTTGAATAAAAATTGCTTTTGAATAAAAAATTGCTTTTGAATAAAAATTGCTTTTTGTTTTATCTTTAATTTTGTCATTTTATATGCAAAACACTATATATTCTCTGCGAAATACAAAGGGAACGGCTATCTTTGAATTCTTTTAGAAAGATGCTCAAACGTTGTTATGAATTTGAGCAGGTTCTTTTTATCAAACGCAATAAATTTGTTGTATTACTTGATAAATGGAGACATGTGCAACTGTCACAACATGTACTTTGTTCAAATGATTGAATAAATTTTTCTTTGGAAAAAAAGAAGAAAAAAAGAAAATTATTTCTCTCTTTTTGTCAGAGGACCTGGGTCTCTTCCTTCATCCATGTAACTTCTTTGTTTTTCTTCCACTGAAATAAAGAGAGGACTTATCATATATATATATAATGTTATTACTATTTATTTGACAGGGCCAAAATTACCTGAAGCAATGAAGATGTGTACACGGGTATTGAAAGATGATCCAGAGAATATTGATGTACTTATAGACAGAGCTGAGACATATATCCAAGATGAAATGTATGAAGAAGGTGAGTCACTTATGAGACTTTATTGTATTCCAGCTCAGGTGTCTATATTTATAAAACAAAAAATACAAAATAATGATAATTATGATATTGATAATAATGATTATAATACTTATAATACTTATAATACTTATGATACTACGAATAAAATAGAAATACTTATACTAATACTACTACTACTCATCATAACAACAATAACACTAAAACTAAATCTTACCTTGGTAGAGAGTGGCAAATACACTCAAGTATATCAAGTACACATTTTCACCTGGGTGGGGACAGGCAAACATGGATTAATGTCTTGCCAAAAGACGTTAGGTGTAGGGCTGAGATTCGAACCCTCAATCCTTGGATTGGGGTCAAGTGAATGAGCCACTATACCATGACACCTGCCCCCATCAAAAGAAGTGAATCCAACATTGATTTGTACAACTTACAAGGAATTTGAACAGTTCAAACTTGCAGAAAATTCTGTCAAAATGGTTATGATCCTAATGTAATCTATTCTGTTTGATTAGGATACAGTAAGTAATACCTCTGTTGATAATTTGATATCCCATCTATTCTGACCATTTTGATTGTTTCTCCCTTTCTTCTTTCAGCTGTAAATGATTACCAGAAAGCCAAAGAAGTAGACGATATACAAAGAACACAAGAAGGATTAGATAGAGCGCAGAAACTTTTAAAACAATCCAAGAAAAGAGATTACTACAAAATATTAGGAGTCAGAAGGTAAGATCATATGAAATCAAGGCTTTTTGTGATCTCATTATACATGGAGTCACAAACATAAAATTGACTTCGCCATTAATTCGCCGTTAATAATTACACTTAATATTCAGGGGCTAGAAATCAAAACTCCTGGATGGATGAAGGTCCTCCCTCCTCCTCCTCCTCCTCCTCCTTGGTTGCATGCTAACTATTTGTATTTTTAAAATTAAAAAAAATTCTACATATCACCTTACATGAATGCAACCCAAAATGATAAAGTTCTTCAGTTGGCTATGCAATGGCATTTAGAACTTGGTGTAGTTTTAACGTGACCAAGTTTCTTTCATACATCTTCTTCTTGCAGAAATGCAGGCAAAAAGGACATATTGAAGGCCTATCGTCAGCTCGCCATGATATGGCATCCGGATAAACATGAAGAAGGGGAAGAAAAATCCAAAGCAGAGAAGAAATTCATGGACATTGCTGATGCCAAAGAAGTACTCACAACCCCAGGTATGATACACTTTAAAGATAAAGATCAGTTCTGGTCATGCGATTGCATTGTGAAAGAAACGTTGTGGAATCCATCAGAAAAGGTTGATCATCTAGCATATAAGTATTGGGGTGTACTACAAGGTTCTAGAGTCATCAAAATGATAAGAAAATTGGCTCAGTCTTGGTAAAGTTACAAGCACTGTACACAGAAAGATGTATAATATACATATTATGCGACTACGCAACACGTGCGCGATATCTATCAGGTCCAAATAGATATTACTAATTTACCAAATATATCAATTAGTAGGCGACTTCGCTGCAAAATTTGTGTCATCACGTATTAGTCAAAACATATTCTTTCACATGATTGGTAATTCATTTTTTGAGAGGGGGGCGTTTCCAAAACTGGTCTTTACCTTTAATGCTACATTCACAAACACAGTTGTAAACCAGCATGATTTTTAGTACACTGAATGAATGTTCGCAACAATGTACTTGGGTATCTGTTTTGCAAGATTATGATTATCAATATTATTGTTGCTTTAAAAGCTATTATTATTATTATTACTATAATTAATAGTAGTAGAGTATATTTATAATTATTTTCATTATCATTATTAATATTATTATTATCATTAATATTATCATTATCATCATCATTGTGATAATTCTAATCACCAATGATTGTTTTCTTAGATGTGTCCATTATTGTTGCTTTCAATATTATCATCTAATTCTTAAAATAATTCTTCTTATTTATTAATTTTTCCTTCAGAAATGAGGGAGAAGTTTGACGCTGGTGAGGATCCCTTAGACCCTGAACAGCAGAAGAACCAAGGCCATCATCATGGCCATCCATTCGGTTTTAATCCTTTTGGTAGTGGCGGCGGCGGTGGTTTCAACTTTAAATTTAACTTCAACTAGAGTTAGCTCAACATTAACAGTCTCACATCTCCAGTTTGACATACATGTAGTACACAATTCATTCAGCTTCAATTCCTTCCAAAGTACAGAATTACATGTAGCAAGGTTTTAATTCTAAATTCCCTTCAACTAGACCTCAATGTTAAAGATAAAGACCAGTTACGGTCATGCGATTGCATTGTGAAAGAAACGTTGTGGAATCGATCAGAAAAGATTAATCATCTAGCTTATAAGTATTGGTGTGTACTGCAAGGTTCTGGAATCATCAAAATGATAAGAAATTTGGCCCAGTCTTGGTAGAGTTACAAGCACTGTACACAGAAGGATGTATATGGACTACGCACACGTGTGCAACACGTGCGTTATATCTATCGGGTCCAAATTGATATAATAATTTACGAAATATATCAATTAGTAGGCGGTTTCTCCGCAAAATTTGTATGATCACGTATTAGTCAAAATATATTCTTTCACATGATTGGTATTAAGAGCTTCCATTTCATTTTTTGAGAGGGAGGCGTTTCCAAAACTGGTCTTTACCTTTAACAGTCTTAAGTGGGTTATGATCCATTTGATGAGCAACTATGGTTTCAAAGAGACGATCATAGTATTATTTAGCCGTCTAGCCATTATTTTGTTGGGACATTTTCCCGTAAAGCTATAGTATTGTCAGTACTACTTGACTACATCCTCAGCCCTGCTGTAATGTAATACCACAGTCACCGCCAAATAGACTCCATACTGACTGTTTCTTGGCCATTCGGGGTAATGTAATTAATTTTAGTTTGGTATGATGTCAGTCAGGGTACGATTTCACAAAACCATCACAAGAACAAGTTCGCTGACATCCCATTGAAACCTGTGTTAAATTTAGTACATGCATTCTAAAGAGCTGTCAGTGAACTTGTACTTCCGATGGTTTTGTGAAACCCTGTCTATCTGGTTGGTGTCATACTGAGGTACAATAAATCATGGTATTTTGTTTATTTTCTGAAGTCCACATTCGCAGTTACAAAACAAAGGAATTGTTGGTTATTATTTAAACCTAGCTGTGAGGGACAGTTTTGGTTCAGGTCATGAAGGTCCTGGAATATTAATTTGTTATATGATTTTGTTCCATTTCACAAAACTTGGGATAGCCTTGGAAAAAATGATTATAACATGTACAGTTTTCTCTGAAATTAATGCATAATTCTGTATCATGACACAAATGTTTTCCTGTGTTAAGTGGATTTCTCACTTCACCTATAATCTCCCTTTGTTTATGGGATTAAAATATTTATAAATCTTTATTGATTCATGTGAAGTCATACATTGTGAGTATAATAAGAAACATTGCACAAAAGATGAAATGATTGTATCTTTCTTAAATTGCCTTTAGTGCCTTTCGGTCTGCTAGTGGTTAATACAACTTTGTGAATGAACCGATTTGAAGTCATTAGAATGGTATATGTATTTATACAGGTAGTATTGTTCTTGTTTTAATAGGGAGAATTTCATGGGGGAAGTTAGAGGACTGCTGATATTTATATATTATCGATCTGCAATGAATGAAAGTGGTAGCAGGGGGTGACATTATACGGAAAGATGTTCGCTATCAGAAAACTAGAAACTTTTGTACATGTATGTCAGGATCATTTAGCTTGTAGGGATGTCATGTGGGAAGGTTTTGTACTGTCAAACATTGGAACCTCAAAGAGTTATGGTATAAAATACCTTGGTGGATAGTTTGCAGATGTTTGTAGTTTTACAGTTTAACATAGCATGGTATGGAAAGCCTTGATGTTCTGAAGTACATTGTCTGAAAGCTGGAATCTGATTAATGAAAAGAAAATACATGTAGTGTCATATTTAGAAATCTGTTCATGATAGTTTGAATAATTTTCAAGAGTATATTTTCACTTGTTTCTTCTGTTTCAGAATTGTATTCTGTTTGATAAAAAAAGAGTCACTATTTTTGTATATTCTTTCCTTTTTAAATTATTTTTAACCATATCATATTTTGGGAAAAAGGTGATTGCGGCACACTGCTTATTAAACATAGCACTTATATAATTTGTAGTTCAACATCTTAGTCCGGCAGCCAAATGCAGATTATTGGCCTAACCTTGTTTTAGGGTCTATAGTTTTTTTTTTCAATGGATTTTGATTGCCTAGACCTTCTATTTCAAGAATCCGATTGCTGACACTCTGTCAGCCTTGAGCAATTTAAGATATATGACGTCATACAAAATGGCCGCCAAAGTGTATGATTTTCCTTTAAAAATGAATAATAAATATATAATAAGGATTTTTTCTACAATTTTTGGCAGCCAAATGTCTGTATCTCTCTAGGACCATCACTAACAAAATGTTTTGTGATGTTGCATGGCCATAGATGACCAGCTTATTTGCATATTTTGAAATAGCGCCCTCTATAAACATATTAATTTGAATAAAATATATGTGCCAGCCAAATGCCAATTTCTTAAATCTATGTCACGTTGAAATCATATTAAATGCTTTTTGGGGGCAACAATTGCAGTTGTGCTGCATAATCTTTCATCGTGTTTGGTACAAATTTAGATAGGGTAGGTGTGGGGAATGGAAGACCCTTAAGCACATTTGCATAATTTACATAAACATGAACAATGTTACACATACAGACATTTTTGTATTCCCTTTAGTATTTTTTCTCTTTATTTTGTAACGAAATTGTGGTCATGATGTAACTGATTAATAAGATAACAATGATTAATGACGTCATCACCAAAGGTCTCTCATTACCTACATGTGTAGGTAATAAGGGACAGTTACAAATCAAGACATTTTAAGTACAATTTGAATGAAAATGGGATTGTTATAGTTAGTTCAAACATTTTTTGAAAGAGATATATGGAGCCAATGAACTTACTGAAATTTTGAAACGATTTTAAAACAATGTGGCCCAAAATATTTCTGTAGTTTTTGTTTACAGTAATAAAGGTGTTCTCAATTATGTTAAAATACTTTCAGAATAATGTTCTGGCAATATGACTTTTACATTGATCAAACTCACAGCATAGAAACAACTTCTTAAAATTGAATGCATTCAAATTAGAATGGTGACACGTACGACCAAATATGTTTCATGATAGTGCCTTTCAACATGAAATGGACAACTGTGGAGAAGTAGGCCCCTATCTTGGACCTGGTGTCCCCAATTACCTACACACATTTCTGATCAGACACCATTCATAATGTGAATTGCAACACCCATTCACAACATACAATGGCCATAAGCTTTCTGTGATGGTTGGCACATTTCATAAACTTCCTTTTAAAACTAATTTTTAAGAGCCACCCCTAAATATCTGCATACACCACAACATTCAGTGAAAATTGTGTTTTTATATCAGAGCAAATTTTTACGATCAAAATTGCTAATATCTTGGTCAATTTTGCCAATTTTCTCGGAGAGAGAACGCATTGTAGTCTTCGAAATGAATTGGATATATGCAGAAGTGTTGTTTAAGGCCACATATGTCGCTATATCAATATTGGAGCCAACACGGACAGACAGTGATGGGTTCAAGCTTGGTGGTCTCCAATTCCCTACACCTACCCTACATATGTCAAGAAAAAAAATGGCTATGAAAGAATTCATTTTTCATCAAATCGGTGAGAAGTGGTTTTACGGCACACATTATTATTCAATTGATAGGCTTTATTTAGACCAGCATTGCTCCAACGTCAGTGAATGTGGATAAAGCAGTTGACATCTATACTAGACAGATGCATGAATTTCAAAAGATATTACCTGGTGGATTCTATGACACAATTTCCAAGAAAGTTCAAACCATGGCTGCCATGAAGAAGTCAATGTTGGGATACGAAAATCTATGAAAAGTTGATCTACTCCAGAGTAATAGGACTGCAGACAAGTTCAAGAGAGGTCAATATCAAGGACATTTTGTCATAAGAGCTTTCACCAGTCCCAACAGCACTTTTTGATGATTCTGGAAACGAGCACTCCCATGTCAAAGACGGACTTATAGAATTTGACAAAAGTTGAGATGTCAGCCAGGCATGAGACACTGGAACAACCTTGTACAGTCATTGATGGTTGTGCTCTGCTGTGGATGAAAATCTGATGATTTTTGCTTGGTGTTTGACAGATCCGAGAGTATCTAGAGGTCATAACGGGTCGAGAGTCTTCCAACTGAGTCCCGCGTCACTGCTGCCCTCCAAGAAACTATCTCTTACTATTCGTCGTCGTCGTCGTTGTCATATAGATCATGGCTCACCATTGTGACCCGTTTGATGAGACCTTTTGATCGGCATCTGTCTCCTGCAATCCGGTAGAGTGTCTTTAGTATTTAGAGGGTGGCTAGTGATTTCCCGAAGGTCGTCAGTCCATCTGAGCTTGAGTCTTCCTTTGTTACGTGTTCCTTCAAAGGTACCTTGAATGATAATTTGTCAAGGTTGTCTCCTGATCTTCTGCTAACGTGACCAAACTATTGTAGCTTGTACCGTCAATCCTGGTAGCAAGTGGCGGTTGATCTCCGATGATGGACATTAATTGTGTCCATTGGTGTTGTAATCTCTTCATGATATCCCAAGTAGCTTCCTCCAACACCACATTTCAAAGGCAGATATTGCCGAGCTTCCACCCTCCTTGACAATCATTGACCCAAGAACATTATATAAACTTGTCCACTTGATCAACTTCTTCTCCATCAACCACCATGCTCTGTTGCATGTAGTTAATTTCCACCAATCATGATCTAGGTCTTTTTCCCATTGAGGTAGGGTCCAAATTATTCACTTGCATCCTTCACTCTTTTTTAAAGAGTTCTAGTAGTTCTTCTGATGTTCTTGTTATAAGTGTTGTCAGTGGCATACTGAGCAAAAACACTTAGAGGGGCAGAAAAACAATCTGCATCACCACCACTCATACATGTTACATGCAGGCCCCGCAGAACTTTTTTTAAATCGGGGTGGGGGGGGGGGGGGGTGAAGTATTTACGATCAGGAAGAGAGGAGCGCAAATTGGCGTGGTGTTCAAGGGGCACAGCCCCTGGAAGCTCAAGGGTTTCAGGCATTTATTAACTGTAAGATGAACATATTTTGATACCTCATTTCACCTCGGGTCACTTTCTTTCTTTCTTTCTAGTTCTCTTCAACATACTTTATACAAAAAGTGAGGGGGCTCGAGTCCCCTGAGCCCCGCTGTTCTGCGGACCCTGACATGTAGGCTTTTAAATAAGCATATTTTT